GAGTGAGTGCTGCCGTCTGGGACTCCATATCTGGCGCCTCGTCATTGAGAACCCGCGTGGCTATAGACTCTGGAACCACATAGCTGATATCGAGAGGCGCAACTGGATCAATCTTGCAGATATAGGCCATGCATCTCGCCATCTCCACGTCTGCGACGCTCCTGAGATAAAGCTCCTCCGCAAGAGTGATGACGTCTGTAGCTCTGATCAATATCTCAATCCGTCCTCTCCGACCAGAGTAGATGTAGGATACCTCGAGAAAACGATCTCCGTAAAGAGGCTTCCGAAAAGCCTGCATAGCAAAGTCCGTCCCAACCAAATGACTGTAGCCATCTCCGAGGTATGGGACCGGACCTTGCCCTCTCGGGGGACCGATAACTGTCTCGGACCTAGGGTCGTCTGACATGTAGGAGTCAATCACCCTCAAGTAGATACCTCGCGAGAACATACGCGATCCTCCTCAATGTCGCTGTCTGCCATCGCCGCTCACCGGTCTCCAGCGCTCCTGTCACTATCCACAAACTCAGCCTCTGTGAGTGTCCCAGTCGAAATAGTCACCAAGATCAACGTCACTCACATAGCAGGGCTCCAAGTCCAACTCATCTCTCTCTGATCTCTGTACGCATGTGGTGATTGGGACCCCGGATCTGGCTTTCTCTCTCCGGATCCGGTCGTTCTTCCGCCTCTTCTCCTTGCTGCGGGACTCACTAAGGGGCTTGGGGTTGCATCCGTCAAAATCGAAGAGCACACCCCTAGGTGCTGAAGGTATGCGAGGGAACACCACGTGTAGCCAGTTGTCCCTCTAATAGCTCTCCCTGCGAAATATGTAATCCGCAATCGTGTCGTATGTGGTGCCCTTCACTCCCGTCTCTGCCCCCTTCACCGAGTAGGTGATCACGAGCGTGTGTCTCGAGGTCGAGGACTCGTTAGCACTGATAGTGAAACTCTGATGTCCCACATGCCTATAGCAGAACCTCTCAATCAATCTACCCCACGTAGGGGCAGTCTCACGACGACGGGCCAGCTTGGATAGAAGGTGCACTCTCACTAATGCAAATACTCCCTCCAAGACCTGGCCAGATAGCAATCAACAACTCAATGTGGAGGCCTGTCTGAATGGCCTGACTGAACTGCAACTCGATGTAGGGCCCGCCTTAATGGGCCCGACTGAACAACAACTCAATATAAAGCCCGCCTGAATGGGCCTGGCTGAACAACAACTATCTCAGAAGAAAGGGCCCTCCTGAAGGGACCTGGCTGAAAAATTGCAACAATCTCGAATAGGCCCGCCTGAAGGGGCCCGGCTGAACAGCAACAATCTCATATAGGCCAGCCTGAAGGGGCCCGGCTGAACAACAACAATCTCATGTAGGCCCGCCTGAAGGGGCCCAACTGAACAGCAACAATCTCATGTAGGCCCGCCTAAAGCGGTCCGACTGAACAACAACTGATTAGTAAAACATCTCATGCATAGGGACCAGTCGTAAATGCTGAATGTACCGGGGCTTAGACTGAGCCATGTCGTCTGTGCAGGGACTGAACCGCCAATGCTCCTCGTGCGAGGGAAAATATGATGTGCATGAGGTGTTACTGATCAGCAAGGAAATAAATCAACGGGAGCGTGATGGCAAATAGTCATAGGCTCGGGCGCACACGGGCTAATGCACTCAAATGGCAATATCCAGCCTGGGCGCACACATATCCAGCGCAAGTGCAAATAGGCGCGCACTCAAATAACGATATCTAGCCTCGGCGCGCATGGGCGCGCACTGTAACTGCAATGCCAAGCTTGGATGCGCATGGGCGCGCACTCCAACTGCAATGCCAAGCTTGGGCGCACATGGGTGCACACTCTAACTGCAGTACCAAGCTTGGGCGCGCATGGGCGCGCACTCTAACTGCAATACCAAGCTTGGGCGCGCATGGGCGCGCACTCTAACTGTAATACCAAGCTTGGGTGCGCATGGGCGCG